AGCTCCCATATATATTTTCGTCCTATTTTATGTTAATTGAGTACCAAAGTCCCTACATTTCTTTCGATTTGCACGAAATTTGGCATAGCGTACTGTGTTAAGTCCTAGAATGATGTGTGTTCAGAGTTAGATATAGCTCCCATATATATTTTCGTCAGATTTAAGGTAAATGTTGTACCAAAGTCGCTATATATGTTTGGATTTGCACGAAATATGGCTTAGCGTACCAAATAAAGTCTGGAATGATGTGTGTTAAGTTTCGTGAAAATCAGTTAACATATAGATATAGCTCCCATAAATATTTCCTATGGATCCAACGTTAGACCGATTGACACAACATTTTGGACAACATACTAAAGTTAATATAACGTAGCATTGGAAAACTTTTGTTGAAATCGGTTCAAATTTGGATAGAGCTGCCATATATATTTTATCCCGATATTAAGTAAATGATACACCAAACTCCTCATGTTTATCAGATATTTATCGAAATAATCAACGGGTGTCCGATTGATATTTACTTTAAATTGGTTTACATAATTTTGTCCCATTTTAAGAAGAAACTCTATATCTGTACAAATGAAAACTTTAGTATAGGTTGCAGAATGACACGTTTATGGATCCAATTTCATTTAAAATGAGATGTCAGTTAGAATTAATCTATTGAATATACCCAAAGTGGTGAAGGGTATCATGTAGTCGGCCCCGTCCGACTTTACTGCTTTCCTTACTGGTTTAAATTTAATTAATGATAGACAACTATTTTGATTTTTTTTTTTTTTTTGCAGAATCTCCATCATCTTCCTCGGACACCTAATATGTGTTATTAATTTCATAATTTCCGCTCCTTTAAATATGAGGGAAATGGGATTTCTGGCACATAGTGCAGAGTACTTAATGTACGAGTAAATAACAAATGTTTTCTATGCACGTACAAATATTTTTTGTTGATTACAACAACTATTTAGAATATAAACACTATTGTCTACGATACAATTGACGGGACCCCTTCCCTCTTTACGTTAACCTTTCGCTTTGGTTATTAGCCATTTAATTGCTACTTCCTTGTTTTTAATAATATACCCTTTTTGGATTTCCTTATGACATAAACACACATATTAGTACAACAAGTATTCCCTAAAGAGACGACCGACCTATTCCCATAACGGTGAAGAAAAGGAAACTCATACAATTCGTTGTCAAAAAGTTCTTCCTAATGTTAAGACAAATGTCGAACGTAACAAACCTCATCGGATTCCTCAATATTTGTTCCGTTCAAAATGAGTTGGCATTGGCATTGGTGAATATTTTGAGATTGGCCCGAGAAGAACGATACTATCATACAATTATCTATGCAAGTCATTCGGAAGTGTCATCGGTTGGAAATACAGTGGACTTGTATGATGTAGATAAAATAGCCAAAGAATTGGAAATTCCAATGTTACAGCTGAAAGGAAACGCTTCGTTATATCTGTGGCCCTATTATAATCGGCAATATTTTGCCCTGATTCCAATGAGTGGCATTGAGGGAGATGACAAAAAATTGCTGGAGGCATTGTGGAAAGTTCTTCGAAAATCTGTAAAAACACGATTATTGCTGATATTTCGAAAGAATGCCAAGGATTCATTCATAGAGGATATTTTAAAATTTTGTCGCGAAAATAAAGCTGTAAATATTTTGGGTGTCAAAGAATCGTTGCCATTAGAAAATATATTCTACACCATGGATGTTTATCCAGAATTTAAAATGATTCAGATAATGGCAACATCGCTGACGGAATTTGTGTTTTACAAAGATCAAGTTCATAATTTATATGGATATCCCCTGCGGCTGAGTATTAACAAAGAGAGTAGGAAGTTTTATATTATGAATCATGTGAACAATACCTATTCTCTGGGTGGTTATGTGGGTCACTTTCTGGAAGAGTTTATACGACGACATAACGCTACAATGACGTTTCCGAATATAGATGATAGTACAGCATTCATTACCGATTTCGAGGAGATGTTAAGCAATGGCACCTTCGATATATCTTCCGAGCCGTCACACAATCTATACAACAGTGATCGAGTCTATAGCAACGTTTTCGATTACATGGACTGGTGTATTATGGTGCCCATGGAGAAACCAATACCCGCCTATTTGTATTATGCCAAAGTTTTCGATATAACCGTAACCATTTTACTTGCGGTCACAGTGGTGTTGCTTTCCTTGGTGATTTCATGGACCATCTGGCAAGAAAGTCCTTCGGGTAGCAGATTTTCTTGGAATCCCTTTAATATTTATATATTTTCTGGCCTTTTGGGTCAATCGTTTAAAATGGAACAGAATTTTCATGGCATTCGTAGTGCAGTCTACATGTTGACATGCATTGCCGGGATCATCATCAATACCTCATATTCCACGTATTTGCAAACGTTCAACTCCCTCTCGCCGAAGGACAAACTGATCACAACACTTGAGGATTTATATAAAACGGATATGCGTCTACTGATGTACACCAATGAATATCAAATGTTAAAAGAGTTCGGTCAAGATCATATTTACAATCCAGTCGTGAGTATAACAACCTATCAGGAATTCATACGCTTGCGTGATAGCTATGACACCAAATATGTATATCCAGTGCCTTCGATCCAATGGTTGTTATTCGAGGAACAACAGAAGTTCTTTGCCAAACCTCGATATCGTCTATCGGATATTTGCTTCATCAAAATGATTGGTTTAATGATTCCAATGCAACCGAATTCCCCCTTCGAGGATGATATTAATCGTATGATTGGTCAAGTGGAAGATACCGGTCTCTTAAATCATTGGAAATTTTTGGCTTTTCTCGAATCATTACAACTCAATCGGATAAGTTTGTTGGACAATAGTCGCATCGTTGTGTTCGAGCCGATGGCACTTGAAGATACTCTTGTGATTTTTTATATTTATGTTGTACTGATAGCTTTGTCATTTTGGTGTTTTGTATTTGAAAATATTTGGTTTCGACGTGTAGCGTTAAAATCTAAATTATTGTATCAAATAAAGAGAATAAGATACATGAGTTAAATAATTAATTTCATGTTTAATACATTTTATTTTAATAAAAAATTAAAAAAATTAAAATGTTATTATTAGTCTAAATTTTATACGATTGTAAATGATTTTGGAAATGAGTTATCTATACACTGGGGGCCAAAACTAAAGCAACTAAAATTGCGAGGTTTTCAAAAGAGAAGATATCGTATTGGTTTTTTTGAGTTTTAATTCGGGTCGTTATTCACTTTCAAAAGCAAAAGCATTAATATAAAATTCATTATTAGTAAATAATAATTTTTTTCGTTGGCGGTAAAGCATTCAATAGCATCTTTCTAATTTTTAAAAGGGTGCGACAGAAGTAATTTAAGTGTACGTCCTATGTCAACACTTATACAAATATAAGGTATTTAAAAATTATTAAAGTATTTAGAATTGGATGAAATTTGGCACATGTCATTTATTTGGTCCAAGGGCCAAATGAGTTAAGTATAGAAAAGATGACCCTATATATCTTTAGATTTGCACTAAATTTGGCATAGCGTACTAAATTAAGTCTAGAATGATGTGTGTTAGTTTTCGTGAAAATCGGTTCACTTTTCATATATTCGACCGAGTTCATGTATATTGGTTTTTAAATAACACTGTGCAACACAAAAAATAATTACCGAGAAATTCCAACAGATTATGAAAGAGGGACTAAAAAAATATGGCGTTTTGAAAGTTTACGTCGGGATGTAACCTAAAAAGGCGGGGCAATATTCTCCCTTTTCAAGAATTTTGATAATTTTCGAATTATGATTTCTTGAAATCCTTGCATTTTAGGTATATAGTGTCTTCGGCAATATTACTGACAAAATATCGAGGAATATTTTGGAATGCAACTCCCTCAACCGACTCATTAAAGGGGTCTTTTCGGTTCCTTTTTCCAGGAGTGATTGAAATCTCATTCAAAACGGGGTTAAAGCTGCTCAAAATATTCTACAGAAATGTTCGCCATACAGTTTTACTATAATTCTCAGAATAGACTAAAACTCAAAAATCAGCCTAAACGTCAATAATCTTAAAAAACAAAAACTCATTTTAGGGTTAATATTGTACTTATTACTAGCTTTTACCCATTTTTCCCACAAGGTGTCGTTTTAGAAGGATAGTATAAGGGGCAAAAATATTATCCATCAATTTTTAGCATAAGTCACTGAACAAGAGAAATCTGTATATATAATGTATATACCGAATATATAGTCATACATTTTGAACCAAATATTCAAAATGTTTTTGTATTTTTTTTTTTTTTTTGTCAAGGCATTTCCCAGTATTTTTTCGACTAAGTGCATTAAAGTAACATGAAATTGATTGATTGATTTTAGGTATATAATGAACAAACTATATATTTATATTTAATAGTTTTTAAGAAATTTACGCTTAACAAAGGAAACAAGTAAGAAAAGTTTGAAGTCAGACGGGACTGGCAATATCACAACCTTCACCAAGTTGGCTACACACAGATATGCTCGTATGTAAAATATCCTCTCAGTAGAACTAAGCATCTTTGGAGGGCCATTGACATGGAATCGAACGATATTTAATTTGTAATCTACATAGATATATGAACCAATTTAAACAAACCCACACACATGTCATTCCGAAATCTATAAAAAAAAAAAACTTTAAAACAATATATGAGCTATGTCTATATCTGAAATATTTATTTCTTATTTCTGAGTGAGTAGCAAATTTTCCTACCCTATTCGCCCATATAACGGTAACCCTAATTTTCGAATTTTTTTTTTTCGATAATGGCGTCAAAATAAAATCGAAGTTAGATATACCTACAATTCATCTGGTTTCCACACTATAATAATTATATTGATAATAACAGTGTTTGTATGTATATATATTTCTAATGTATATTTATTTTTTACTGAATAACAAGTCTTTGTGAGTTCTATATCGCTTCATAAATATCCTTAATTTCTTAATTATGCACGCCCTCTTCGACCACGCCAATTCTATTAGAAAACAATAAAATGACGAACAAATCATAATGATAAACAGATAACCCAGCAGTTTTATATCCTCCATTTTCAGTACTTCATAAGTATTGACCGCACTGACATCAATCAAATTCATACGATTCCTTTGAAGAGCTTCCAAAAATTCAAGAGTCTTCCAGTATTGTATTAATCCGGCTTGATTGACAATGCCAATCAATTTGTTAATGGCATCTTCATAGGGTGAATTCGATTGCATCGGTATCATGACACCAATCTTACGAACAAAACATATATCGGATAAACGATATTTTGGTTTGGAAAAGAACTGTTGTTGTTGTTCGTATTGAGACCATTGAGCCGATGGTACGGGATAGGCAAAGCGATTGTCATAGCTATCGCGCAATCTATGATAATCGCGATATGAGGGTACTAAATGGGCATATTCTTCATAGGCACTGGTAGCATTGTATTTTTGTAATAGCATAAACTCTTCGGTATAAATAGCGATTTTCAACTTTGAATTGCGAAAGTCATCCAAGGTAGTTATGGGCTTCTCTGTGGGTGGATGAGTTTTGAAGGTTTGCAGATGTGTCACGAACGTAGTATTTATAATGAGACCGCTCATGCCTATTAGTAGATAGAGAAAGCTACGCACTCCTGCAAATTTCTTTTCCATATGGAACGGATGGCCCAAAATGCCATTATAAATGTAGATATTAAATATAACATCTAACCAACAGACTGCATCGCCGCGTAACCAATAAGTCAAGGCCACACAGAAAGCCACACAAAAGGCACTGCAAAAAATAACTGCAATTAAGAAACCATCAAAAATGTTAATGTAGAAAAGATAGGCCGGAATTGGTTTCTCCATTGGCACCATTAAGCACCAATCCAAAAAATCATAGGTGTTACTGTACACCATATCGTTGACATACATATTTATTGCCAATTCGAGAGACATATCATAGGTTCCATTCTCTACTAACTGCGTCAACAGCACAAGAGTCGTCTCAGCTGTTTTATTGTAGTGCGGTAAATCTATGGAAGCATTGTGGATTCGCGAGAAAACTGTAAAGAACGCTCCAACATGGCCACTTAAAATATAGCTATTGCCTAGTTCCCCTACAACATAAGCCTTCGTGCCGTCCTTGTTGATTCCCAAACGTATTGGATACCCATACATATTCATCACATGATCTGGATAGAAAATAGTTCCATTCGAAGGCAAGAATTTTTCAATGCGCACCTCAAATTTCGGATATATTTGTGTTGTATAAAATTCTCGGGATTTCAAAAATCCTCTTTAATGGCCATTACATTTACCGCTTTGTTTTCGTACAAAACTCCATAATTTTCCAAATGTAATTATCATCATCTCCATCAGTACGGCAGAGTAACAACAATCGCGACTTTACATTACGCCTCAACGACTTCCATAATGCTCGAAGTAATGTTTCATCCAGGACTTGCCGACCACATAAAGCCGCCATGGCCAATAGCTGTCGATTGTATGTTGGTAACAAATAAAATGTTGTGTTTCCCCTTAATTGAATTATGGGAGTGTTTATCACCTGGGAAATTCTATCCACATTATAAAGTCCTGTTCCAAAGCTACAAGATTTTTCCTCATGACCCATATAGATAATTGTTTGATAGAAACGCTGTTCTTTGATCGACTTTAATATTTCCGCCATAGTCACACTGATTTCATATTCCACAGACATGAGCTGTAGAAATTCCATTATAATCGAAGTATTAGCGGCATAATACATTTTTTAACTGTAACTTCATCGATTTCCCGAAATAAACTGTTGTTTTTGGGAATATTCCCAAATTTTTCATAGCATGTGTAAATGTTTATTTAATACCCAATTGGGTATTGTCTCTTACCGTAGGTGGACATAACGGAATATAGGTTGGTTTAGTTGATAACACTCTGTAGCATTGAAAAGAATTATAACGATAATATTGTACAATGAAATAATCGTCGGAGGGATTGTAATAAAAACAAGTTAAATCAATGTTAAGTTCGGCCCGGCAGAACGTTTTATACCCTCCACCATGAGGATGAAAATCAAACCATCTAAAATTAATGTGTGCCCCTATGAGAAAGCTCATGTTATGAAAGGACCTGGACAAACCGAAAAATACGTGAGAAGAAGATGATTGGAATTTTCAAAATATCTAACAGTGGATCTACCATTATATGTGGCTATAATAAAAACCAGTAAG